CGACGATTAAAACGGTTCGCTATAGTTCTTCCACGTAGCCGTGATATAAATGCAGTCGTCTTTCGCGTTCGAATTTTTGTTTTTTCCCCGGTAAACGCGGCTCGGTTTAATAAATACGGTGTACGCGTATTCACAGTTCACCGCGGGACGTCGGTACCGTGGCATGTCGGTACCAGCAAGTAGGCTGATCGCGCGAGAGAATCCAGCATATAGAATAGGTCACACCCTCTGGGGACCATTATTGCCGGGCACTGTACGTGCACGTGACTTGTATAGGGTCGACGCAAGTGGGTTGGTGCAGTCGTTACTGTTGTCCTCGGTACCCCCTGCTCGTTCAACGACCCCGCATGTACGCACTCGGCTGCCGCGGTGTACGCATGCACGCATGCATGCACGTGACGGGCGGGCACGGCGCGGGGAACGGAGGCGTAGGACGGTGACAACGAAAAAGAAGGAAGAATCGGGAGTGATTTCTCTTCTTTTATCCTAGCATTTTTTTCCCGAACCAGGCGCCGCCGCGTAACTCTACCGAACAATCGCCGACGCGGCTGGTGAATGTATCCGCGCTTCGCCCATCAACGGGCGCGAGGAAATACGGAGATTTAGAAAGGAATCAACCACCTATTGTACGGTACGCACACGCGCGCACCGAACGTTGCATGGAACCACGGATGGTGTCGTATGAAAACGATCCCCGCCGAGGGATTCTCACTAATCGCACAAAAGGGTCGAATTTTACATATCAAAAAAAAAAAAAAAAAAAACGTGAAAAGGGTTCGAACGAGAATCCCCGTCGAAAGTCTCGTCGATGTTCGGCGGGACGTGTTGGCAGACGTGCGCGTCGCCCGCGTTAAATTGAAATTACGGTTGGGCAAAGCCGGGGGTCACGTGGGCTAGACCAAGCGGGACCAAGGGTCACGAGAGACAGGAAACGGCAGCATTGTGTACCGGATGTCGCAACTTCCGAGTCCTTTGGCCTCTCTGTTTTTCCTTGGTGTACGCGCGCGATACGTTGTTCGATGACACCGTTTAGTGGTTCAGGGCACACGGCGGGAAAGGGTAGGAGGGGGAGTGGGGGGCCGGGGGAGGGGTCGAGGGGGAGGGGAGTAACAGAGAGACAGATTTCGTATCGAGGAAATTTCGGCACGCACGAGTCAGAAACGTTTAAAGATGCGCGAGTGGCTGGCGGAGCGCCCTAACGCGCCCTCCTCGAGAGATCAGCCGACCGAGCAATAGAACGAGAGAGTATGAGTGAGGTCGCGCAGTCGAGGTTCTGATAAGAGCGACAGAGAGAAAGAGACGGAACGAGGGAAGGAAAGAGAACGAGGGTAGGCAGAGAGGGAGCGAAGAAAGAAGGGAGAGAAAGGGACGGTGGCAAAAGATCGAGAGGGAGGGCGGCCGACGAGGGGAGGGAGGGGAGGGTATAGTCGTCGTGAGCTCCTTACAGTGCATTGCCTTTACGATGCCTCGAGTCCCCGTCACACCCCGTGCCCCGACAAATCGCGTACGACGTGCCTCTCATGAAGAGATCCACGAAACCAGCTTCGCTGTCGAGCGATTCGGGTCGTCGAGATTCATCGAGAGGAAGAGTTTCTGTATGGGTGACAATGAGACACGAACGCAACCGGGACGTGTGTGCGGCGCATAGGGTTTTACCGCACCCCATAGACTAAACTGATCTCCACGAAGCAAAAGAGCTGATCTCCCGGCGCAACGTTCTCCTTTCGTTCCCCTCGAGAACACTGAACTCTCGTCTACCGTACAGTGGAGACTTTCACCGGTATGTTGTACGCGTTTCGAGGGTAACAAGATTATCGCGTCGGCCTCGCGCGATTCACAACCTCGCATTGTTGATACCGGGACACGTCGAAACGACTACGCGTGCAAACCACGAATCTTCGAGGCTTCTGGCCCAACCTTAAAACACAGAGCCATCTAAGCTCGCGCCGTAAACCTCGAGTCAGCTTCGAGGATCGACTTTAAAAGGCTGAATCTTCGAAGCTTGCAAATAAAGCTCGAAGTTCGAGCCTAAAAGGGTGGTAACGTTTAGGGTTTGAACCGTGACTCGAGATGAACATGAGACTAGCGATTGTCAAAAATAAAAATTAAATAAAAATATATAAACATGACTGATACGTAATAAATAAAAAGTTCGTATCCCGGAAATGAAAGAGGCCGAGAAAGCCAGACACTACTCGAGACTAAGCCTATTTAGCAGACTGGGAACAATTTTGTTCCGGCAACGAATAATGCTTTATCTAGCTTTACCTAGATAACCTTTTCATCCGTAAAAAAAATGTACGCAATAAGTTATAAGAAATTGTACAACAAAAAATTTCTGTTTAAACATTATGGTATTGATCAATATTTCTATATAGAAACAGGTTATGTGACATGATGTCACACATTACATATAAAAATGCGACAAATACCGCATAAACACAAAAGTATCACGTAAAAACAGCATAAAATTCAAATACCATGTACAATATTCGAGGCATCAGCTACAAACATACACGTGTGTAATAATGGTGCGTGAGTCTATCATTTACATAACGAATATGTAACGAGTTATTCGTAAGTCAAGAATAAATTTCTAACCTCACAAATTATTCGAAGGTGTTTCATACAGATGAAGATTTATTCTAAACTATTGGTATGACGCCTGTCACCTTTCTGATGTACATACGATGTGAATCTTCGAAGGTTCGACCTTAAACTCCGCGTCTTCGAAACTTGCATATAAAGCTCGAGATTTGAGCCTGAGGGGCTCTAATCGTTTCTAGCTTGAATTACGGCGGGAGCTGCGACCAGCTCGGTAAGCTCGAGACCCGAAGCCTATTTCAACAGCACTATTTTCACGTCGCGTCGCGTGTTTCGAGAACGCGTACGCCGTCGAGGGACGATTCCACGGAACATAACCTACGTTCGAGCCACGGGACGGAAAAATTTCGCGACAGCGTATCGTAAATTATTTGGGAAAACCACGAGGTTCCCCGGGATTTATTTCAATTCTACTATTCAGGTACCGAGATCTGTACACCGCCGAAAACGATTTACAAGTCGAAACGGTTTATAGCATCTAAAATAGGCTCTTCGAGTTGAAACTTTCGAAACAGCCACGTTTCATAGCGCACGAGCGCCTTCGCAAGAGGGGAGCGCAAAGATGTGTTCGTCCCAATCCCCACCATCCCCATTCGCTCCATCTTGCTCGGCACGTTTCTCATCTCGATGTCACGACAAATACGTCGTTTCCTTGTCGCGTCCGCATCTGATAATACGTAGCTACGATACGCATTGCGTGTACGTACACACGCCGTATACTTGTGGTTTGTTTCCCTCTGTCGCGCGGGTCGCGATAAAATGAGCGGGCGAAGCAGAAAAAAAGATCGGTGTTACGCAGAAATGAGCGTTAAACCGATAAAGAAAAAGAAAAAAAGAAATGCGTCGTCCAGCGTTAGTCAAGTAGCACCGGCAGTACCGTAACGGGTGGATTTGTCGGTGTCCTGCTTCACCTGTGCCTGCAGTTCACGCCCTTCTTCTTTTACACCGTTCTCACTAACGGTTAATCGACGTCGACCACTTCTTGCGTTTAAAAGAAAACCGAACGCACAGACGACGCCATCGGGTGGCGATATCTTGCACCACATTTTACCGCCCTTGGTTTCTCTGGGTGCACTCGCTTTAAACGCTCGCGCTCGACAGCGCTAATTAGAACCATTTGTTTTGGCTTCTTTTTTTAATTAGTAGTACACGTAGCTTATGGATGTAATAAAAAGATAAATTTCCCCATTCGAATACTTGAAATTCTCGCGAAATACTCGTATTATCGCGGTCATAAAATTATGTAGAGGTTATTCCTTCTTACAATGATGTTCTATACCAACTATTTTGTTTCATGTTAAAGAAAATAATAGACTAGTGTCTGCTTAGAAACGAACCAGTCAACATTCAATGAAAATTATGTTAAATACTATTGTCTAAAAAGCAATTTTGATCTATTATATGGAGAATGTTTATTCTGAACTTCTGTTAGTATTTTAACTTACTCTTCATGCGTATTAGAGAGTACCCAAGATTTTAATAAAGCTTACTCCTGTCTTTATTATAGTTTTGTTTCTAAGAAATTTAATATTAAGAAAGTAACACAGCGTTGAAAGGTGTTGGAAGATGTATTTGATGCTCTAGTCTGTTTCTGTCTTTATTATGTGGCAAAAGTTTTGTGAGATTTGCTATAACAGACTATTTCTAGGGTACATTAAGGATATGTGGTGCATCCATTAATATACATTAATGTTAATGCACCACATACCAACCTAAATTGATATGTAAATAAAAAAGATATAATTCCATAAACCTGATGGTAATTGTAAGTGTGTAATATATGTTTATATTAAATTGATGTTTTTTCTGCAAAATCAACCAAATGAAACTTAGAGTTCAAAGAAACTAAGAATGAACAAATAGATCAAAGAAGAAATAATATAAGTAATGTAAACAGGGACTCAATTTGTAACAATTTACCAATGTGAAATAAATACAAATATGTACTAATAAAGACACTATCATATTTCTTTCCCAAGATATTTAATTCATTTGAAATGTAATAATTCGGAATTTATTGCTGTTTGTAATAAAATTTTTTATGTGTGTTGTGTGTACAAAATGTGTAAAAGTATGATCCTTATTTCCCTCATTTATGTTTAACTACCTTCTTTTCGTCGAATATGGTAAACGTCCGTTAGAAACAAATAAAATATCATTCATACAAGGTTACATTTACTTTGTTCCTTGTTCCAAAATGTAGAAAATTTAGAACATTTCTTGGGTACTTTTGCAACGATAGAATTATCATTATTAACAAAATTTCAGTTAATTGGGCACAAAACTTACTTGAATTTTACGATTTCATGGTACAACTTGAAATTTAAGCGGGAAAAATGCTTGCCAGAGCTCGCACATGTGTGTTTAAAGCGAACCCCTCGTCGTTTTCGGTTTGGATCTTGGACGTTCGTTAAGCACATAACCTGTAAAAAATAAGATAGCTTAAATGAATTTTCCGAATATTATAAAAAAATGACGCACTTAGTTAATAAATTAAAGTTGAGAGAGCTCGTGAAATCGTCGGTTAGGTACAAGCATGGACCGGATCACTGGGTTTGTACCTATTTAATTCTACAATTACTAATTTACTGTACGGTTTCGACGATCGTAAATATACTGGAAATACTTTATAATTGTTTCTTCACAGTCTGTACTTAAGAAAAAGAAAACCGCCAAGGATAAAGCGCTACAGCATTTTGATGAATTTTACGGGAACGTATATGGAGATAACTGGAAAAACATACGGGCTGCATTATTGAAAGAAAATTCTAAATATGTAGCGGTGGTTAATAATTTCAGCGATACAGATAGAATACGATCTAAATTGGAGGTATCTAATCATTTATAACATATTTTTAGTCTGATATTTAAAATTTATTAACATGGAAATACACTGTAATTTTAAGTATTAATTTTAAAATGAAATAAAAAATTGTCTTGAAGAAAGTCTTCAACTTTGATAAAAACATTAATTTAAGCGAATAAAATATTTACAAAAGGTCTATATTGTACCCAAGTTAATGAGGTTTAAATGTTAGAAGATTGTAATTTACAAACTAATGTGACAATAATTATTTTAGTTGCTGGGTGCAATTCATTTGAAAGCACTATACAATGTATATAAGGAACATCTAAAAAGTCAATCGACATCTAAAACTGTTCAGACAAAAGATGTACGAAATGTAATGGATACTCTTATATCTAACACTCAGTTGTCAGAACTTCAATCTATTTATCCAGCTGATCACCAACATACTGCACAAGCATTGAACACGGAAGAAAATGATGAGACCATCACAACTAATAATGCACTACAACCTGTAAAGTTACAATCTATAGAAGAAGAATTGAATGAAATTGAATTAGACAATGACCGTATTATTGACTCATCTATAAATGTGTCTATGCTTCATGAGTATATACCTGCTACAAAAATAAAAGGTTAGATTAATACCTTTATTGAGTCATGAACAGTTAATATATTATATGTATAAATGTATTTTACAGGTATGGATGATTGGGAATTGGAATCTGACCATTATAGGTTTTACAATAAAGCAGCTGATTTCAAAGTAGACATTGTGAAAGAATCTGTTCTGTCATTTCCTGAACATTTACATGTATACACTTTTGAAGAAGGAAACGACAGTAGATTCCCATCTCCTAGAAAGGGATCTACTGGTGTTCTAGGTTTGTATTGTTTTAACCGTTTATAATACTCCATAAAATGAGTAATCTCAATATAAGGGACAATTTCTTTAAAATCAAAAAGTAACAGCAATAAAATATGGCATAGTTGTTAAGTTGAACAAATAAGCATTTGTTTAAATTTTCATTAAAATGGACATCTAAAAGTTAACGATTTTTGTTTGTTTGTCGGGAATTTTATTTAGATTATTATTTATTTGACGGCGGATCTATACTACCAGTGTTGGCCCTTGATATAAAACTGGGCGATGTTGTGCTCGATATGTGCGCTGCACCTGGTGGTAAAGCATTAACTATTCTACAGACACTCATGCCTAGGTTGTTGGTTGCTAATGATAACATGCAATCTAGAGTAAAGAGAATAGAAAATGTCATGGAACAATATGTGTCAGATGTATATGAAACAGAAAAAATGTTTTATCTAACAGAAAGAGATGCTAGAACAATAGATGAGAAAGATGTGTATGATAAGGTATTAACATTTACTTATCGTTTAACGTACCTTGAATAATATCTATGATAAAACTAGAGATGCGTCGAAACCTGATTTTTAGCTCCGTGGAACTTAAATCCGATACTTTGCGAGGTCTCGAAACTCGAAACTCCAAACTCGAAACTCGAAACTCCCGGAACCCGGAATGCTTATTTTTCTAAGAAGTATTTATTTTGTCAAACTTCAATCTTAACAAATTAAAAAAAAAAATTAAATTATTTATTGAGTATAATTAGATGGAAATTAAATTAAGTTATAATGTAAATAAATGTATAAACGAAGAAAATTAAAGTTTCAAGTTTCGAGGGGTTTCGAGGTATCGAATGTCTCATCCCTAGATAAAACATGCATCTATCATATAAAAATGTGTATAATTTATATTTTTTTAGATTCTAGTCGATGTACCGTGCACAACAGATAGACATGTGTTGCACACTGACGAGAACAATATGTTTAAACCCACTAGACTTAAGGAAAGACTAAATATTCCAGAACTCCAATCTGAAATTTTAACGTTAGTATATATTGTATTGATATATATATATATATATATGCGTGTATTAATTTTATTTCGTGGCATTTAATTGCTATATTTACTATTTTTTAGAAATGCATTAAAATTAGTAAAAGTAGGAGGCACGGTCGTTTATGCAACATGTTCTCTTAGTCCTATACAAAATGACGGCGTTGTCCATGTGGCACTGAAAAAGTCATGGGAAGAAACTGATTCAGTTATGATTGTAAAGTATGTATATGTATATCCTTCGGTTTAAATAACTTTATTATTCGTACTCTTTGTATTTTGTATAATTTTTATAGAGATATAACAGAAGCATTAATGCCTCTAAAGTATATCTATAAATTTGGCAAAATTGGGCTAAAGTATGGCAATATTGTTGTCCCTAGCCTTAGGAGTAATTGGGGACCAATGTATTTTTGTAAAATAGTAAGAGTACGATAAAGGTGAGTAAGTGAGAATACATTTTATAATTTAAGATAAATATCTGTATCTAATAGATAAATATTGTTACAACTACATATAATGTTATAGTACTTTAAATAATATTATTTAATGTAACATTTGTAAAATATTAATACAAATTGATGTATAAAAGTCATTTTGCGAAATGGCGCGAGATTTTTTGGGAAATTGTTAAACCAATTTTCCATTTTTTATAAAAGAAGTATTTAATGAAATAGCATTTTTTAATTAAACATGATATGAAATCGAATGAACGTGTACTTATGATAATACTGTGATACTATTATATGTTTAGGAAATTAATAAACGTTAATTCATATTGTTTATACATAAATTAAATTTACTTCCTAGCATTGTCTTTCAAAGGTAATGTTTGATCGCTCGCTTCCTCATCATTTGGTTTAGTTTTGTTCCAGGGTTGCTCTTCACCGCTACCAAAAATGGTATAAACTAACGATTCAACTACGTACAGCCCAACGGTTACAAAAAATATAATCCTCCAGGCTCCTATAGTTTGCTATAAATGGGGAAAAAAGATTAAGTAGAAAATAAAGTGTCTGTTAAAAAAGTATATAAAGATGGCAGTAATTCTAAAACAATAAGATATTTTTATAATTATTCACATTTCCGTGTGTCAATTTCCCCACAAATATCGGTACTACAAATCCGGGAATAGTAGCGATACAATTTGTAATAGCAACCAAGGTGCCGGCGAAATTTGGAGCGATATCGATATGATTCGATAGGAATCCACTGTACATTCCACCGATACAAGTTACTCCGATAGTCATTAATGCAACAGCTAACGTTCGATTACAACCGACATAAGATACTCCTATTAAGCAGATCATGGGGACTACAGATGCTGAAAATAAGTGTTTTAAGTAAGCTATAGACATTAATAATTAGGTATCTGAGTATTTGTAATACTAGAATAGTAATAAAATGTTCGAACAGACCCAACCCTAGTATGCATATAAATGAGAGACTTACAAAACAGTGTCCCAATTTTTCTCGACGTTGTTACCGTGATGCATTGTTTGTCCTGCATAACGGCTAATACCTTACTGAGAACCATAGTGAAAATCCACATACACAAGAATGGCATGGAAGAGAGGCCAGCATTCTAGGAATAAAAAAAAAATTTTATCGTCACGTTAATTCAAAGCTTCTACCTAATTTTAATTAACAACACCCACCGAGCTCATGTCGAATTTCAAAATCTGATTCATGAAAGTAGGCAATTCGATGAGCAACATGTACCAACCAAAATTGCTACAGAAGTGTGCAATTAAAATTGCCATGAACGGCTTGGACCTTAACACTTCTCTCCACGGGACCGGTAATCTCTGTAACGTGAAAACGTCATAAAATATTTAAATGCACGCGCGACCTCGTTAATTTTCAAGAAACTCCATGCACCTCTTTATGTTCCGTATCGTTTTTGCTGTGCCCCAAAGACTGCATGATGTAGTCTTTTTCCTCTTGACTGATAAATTTCGTTTGTTCTTCCGGGCTGTCCTCGATTATTATCCACCATACAGCGCACCAAATTAAGCAAAGAGCACCTTCTATATAGAATATCCATACCCATTCGAGATTCGCGGCTAATATACCCGTTAGGAGTATAGAAATCACAGTACCAAGAGCAGTTCCTGTAGGAAGTAAGTGGTTGAGAATTCTGCAGACTTCGTAATCAATTTTTGTTTACAATTTTAAATTTAGAAATGTTGAGAAGGAAAAACATAATTACTAGTAATTATTATTCTATAATACTAGTATTATTCTACAGCGAAATGAGATACAGTTTACAGGAATAGATGGTCAATTGACCTGCGTAGACGATCGAGGCCAGAACGCTTCTTTCGTTAGGTGGAGCCCACTTGGCGATCATAACATGCATAGCGGGAAAAGTTACACCCTGAAATACAAGATACGGCAATATTAGGCTGCGAATTAGTGCGATCGTTGTTTAATTGTTGGCTATTACTAACTCCACCGATTCCCTGAATGACTCTCATCACAATGAAAAGAGAGTAGTGAATTTCGGCGGCAACAGGTGACAGAATAGATGCAACGACGTTCAGAAGCACGGATCCATTCATCACCCATTTCGCGGATAGTAATTCAGCCATTCTTCCACCCGGGAGCAAAGACGCCATATAACCCCAAAAATATGACGATAGAATGAGACCTTGCAATGGTTCGTTCCATACAAACGGACCGTCCTATAAACATATTAATTTGGATATACATATTAGACGCATATAACTACCCACAATCTTTTTGTTTTTGAAATTATTTAAAAGTATTTCATCCAGGACTCGTGAAAGGGTATATATTTTATACGTGGAACTGAAAACCTAAGGAAAGAGTTGGGTAATATATTACATCATTTATGTACCTCATCAACGGTTTTTACTACATCAGAAGAATCACCACCATCGAGACGACACTCTTCCGTGGTAATTGCAGTTGTATTCCCGGTTTCCAAGTTATGCAACGTAGATAGTTTTACAGCAGTGTGGTTCACCATAGCTACGATCGCTACACTTACGTTTACCTTGAACCCGTAAATGATAGCTAGTCCGATGGAACCCATGATCGCCATCAGGTATCGTGTAGGAAATATAATACCCCCGGTTCCTGTGAGTGCATTTAAAAATAATAGTAAATATAAGGGCAAATAAACGATCGCGTCGGGATTACAAAAGTTTCACGCCGTACATACTGATTCGTTTAACGACGCAATTTCGAGAAAAAAATTCCTTACCGAAAATCTAATTAGATGCCTAAATTTTTTGACGAAATAAAATAATTTCTAATCGTTCTAGAAAAATTATTTTTAGCTGCGAGGGTCAATTACAATCATTTTTGGTGAATAGACATACCCCCGAATTCCCACGCATTATCGAGAAAAAAATTCGAGGAGGTGTGAAATTTTTCGACGGAAAAAAAATTCCAAATCGTTTTGGAAAAATTATTTTTAACTGCGAGGGTCAATTACAATCATTTTTGGTGAATGGACATACCCCCGAAATTCTACGCATTTTCGAGAAAAAAATTGGAGGTGTGAAATTTTTCGACGGGAAAAAAAAATTTCAAATCGTTTTGGAAAAATTATTTTCGGTTGCGGGGGTCAATTACAATCATTTTTGGTGAATAGGCATACCCCCGAAATCTTGCGCATATTCGAGAAAAAAATTCAGTACGGACGGAACTTTAAATATTAATAACTTTTTAACGAAGCCTCTATCAAGAAATTGATATTCTTGATTTTCGTCTTATTTTGGTCTCTAGAATCCTCCGTTAAAGTTTTTCTCACGAGTAGCCGAACACCCTATAATGTAATACTAAAAAGAATCAAGTTGAACAAAAAATTGATTTTTTCTATCTATAGTATTTTACATGATTTTATAAATTTGTGTTCACTAGAAATAAATTTTTTAATGATATAATCTGTACGAAATGTGATATCTTCGATAACACGTGACCGCAAGAAACGTGTTGAGGACGTGTCGATAGGCATGAGACACAGGTGAATGTGCACTTAGGTCTTCGACTTCTGTCTTGGCATCGCTTCATCGATGAACATAGCATCCCGGTACGTGACAAATTGCACGTATAAACATTTCAATTACGTTTTTACTTGTACAATTTTGTATAAATTGTAACGAAACGCAGATTTGATTATAATCGTCTTTTACAAGATTTTGTCGATGACTAATAATGGAATAAAAATTTTCGTCGCTTTTGTTTCGCAATACTATATTTAGTAATAAAAAGTACTTTATATTTTCATCCAAAAGATTTCTTTCAAAATGATATTCAACCGACTTAACCGGATAACGATCACTAAATCTTTTACAATTTATTGTAACGACATATTGTAATTTGTGGCACTTGGGGCAATGGAACGAGTGCTTTATTTTTTTTTTTCGCGTAGCTTTTTATTAGACAGGGTTATTTCCATTCGGCATATAGGTCAACAGACACATAAACTGTGATTCCAGAATATTACCCTTGACACACTGTCCAAAACGTAACGTGCAAACACGAATGTTTCAATCGGATTCTGCGATCATAAATAAATCGAAATGAACATATATATTTGACAATAAATTAGTAATTAAATTTAGGTTAAGTCAGTGATGACATAGATTTTCATAACTCCAAGTGCAAATATAGATTTGTAAATTCTGTGATTCATAGTACCAACAGTGTACCAGAATGATGAAAACTCGCGCGAATCGTTCATTGTAATTGCTACGGTGTTGCATCAACCGTCGTAGTATATGATATATAGCACGCGCGCAATTAGCACGTTTTGCGGGAACACTGTTTGTTTTTAAATTGCATAAAACATGAATTTCAACTTTAAACTGTTTCAAACGTACGTGTTTGTTTTTTTTAAATTTATCATCGAATATTTCAATGAAAACGCCATACACTACGCCACTGTATAAAGGTCTAGGCCAGAGGACGTTTGAAGGTCACAGGGATGATCTCCCATAACGATAGAAAAGTAACATCGAAAACGCAAAGCGAACGCATTTCTCGAAAAAGCATTCAGAAATTTAATAACTTTACTAACTTAAGTACGAAAGAAATACAGTCACTTACTTTTAGAACCATTTTTGTCAGCCATGGTTTCTCCCCTGGGATGGTCACCGTACGGTTTTTAAATCAATACACTATTTTCGCGAAACTCTTTCCGATACAATGCAATAGAAAATTTGTCACGTTAATTATTTACGATATATTGTATTTATTGCAATTTTAGTATTTAAATTTGCGTGGTTCGGATTTTTTGAAAAAATTAATTGGGAACGTAAATTCACGTTTTTAGAATTTAAAAAAAATTTAGTAGATCGCGGGCTGAACAGAGAAATTCGATTGGATTAAGAAATCTCGTTCCTTCCGGTTCGATTCCTCGTGCGTGCAACGTGCCACTGACGCTGATTGCGATACTCTGATCCTCCGGAGTCTCCTCTCGAAGGAATACCGGGCGTGCGCCTTTTCTATAAATGACGTACCACACATAAACGCACGCACGAATTCACTGCTGTCTTGCAGCACCCTCGACACTGTGACGCGCTACGTTTACCTTTAAACCAACCATGATTTCCGAGAACTTTCTTTTCACCGTTATAAGTTTTTCGTGAGGCGTACGCCGCATACTGGCTAGTGCGTTCGAACGTTAATGCCCGAGGACTCGATACCATATGTTTCTAATTCAAGAGACACAAGTACGACGTAAAACATACAGAATAGAAAAACTTTTATAAATACCAATGCACAAAAATATGATTTACTTTCTACGCTCTTGAGCTTTTGCTTTTTTACATTACTAAATATAATTCGAGAATCTGTTAACACGATCGTTCAAGTATCAGTCTGTAAACACGTGTATACTTTTATTTATAAAAATAACGGTTGCCCTAAATTTAGATGCTTTTCCTCTTTACCCCAATTTTTGTTTCGATTTGGTTTCGAGCCAAAATCAACAAAGCTTGATATATTCGACAATGTAAAGATTACAACAAGAAAGTGAATAACATGTGTAACGAATTAAAATAATTGGAAATATTATAAAGATTCATATTTATTAAATTGTATATGCCGGTTAAACGATGAATTACTTGCGAATTTCAGTCTCGTTCCCTTGTTTACCGTTACCTCGTCTGATGCAATATAAAAGTGACATTCAAGAAAAAAAGTAATTTCAATATTCTCGATCGAGATGAAGTTGCATTTATGTGGAATACTTTCTATAGTATATTTTAATAAAATCTACTAATTTCTGGATCGATAGCAGGTGACAGATACACGACGATGTCATTAGTAAATTTAAATGTATAAAGGAGTAATTTTTGGATTCTGCCGTGGTAAATAAAATCGAAACATGAGCCTAGTGTCAGAAAATGGCGATAACCTCGAGGAGATATACGCTTGGGTCGAGCAAATGACATTTTCCAAACCGAAGAAAAATCTTGCTCGAGACTTTTCCGATGCCGGTACAATAAAAAAAGTAGTAAAATTGTCCGGTTACTGATACAGATTAAAACTTTAACCGCTAAATTTTAGTTTTTATGGCCGAGCTGTTAAAACGGTATTACCCTAGACACGTTGAAATACATAATTACATATCCGGAAACAGCATTGCAAAGAAGATAGATAATTGGTGCACCCTAAATCGCAAGGTACTCTCGAAACTCGATATGAAATTGACCAAGGACGTAATTAATCAATTAGCAAATTCGCAACCGGGAGTCATTGAAAAAGTGTTAACTGATTTACGGGTTAAAATTTTGAAAGACTGTAATGCCGAGAGAGATTCTTTGTACTTTTTATACGAGGAAAACGGAAAAGGAGGTACGTAAAAAATCATAGGAAAATTAGTATGATAAACTGTATGAACTAAACGTTATTGCTTGAAAAGAGGAGGTTAAGTCGGTACTCGATCCTGAAGAGATAGGAAATAAAACCGTACCGCGACAAGTTTTTGTCCGGCTGAAACAAGAACTACAAGAAAAGAATGAAATTATAAATACGCTTAATCAGAAAGTGAATCATCTTGAATCTTTAATGAAATTTAAGGATCAAAGAATCGTAGATCTTAGTGCACAAGTAGTAAAATCTACAGAGCCTTCTCTTACACCTAGGCTTGACAATTTAACTACAAGTAGCAGAATTTCGAAATTCCGTGTTAAAATATAGTACATTACTGTTCTTTAAATTAGTATAATAATATTTTACAGATTGTACTTTCGAAATTTGTATCGTTTTAAATTTTTATTAAATGTACTCGTTTTAATATAATATACCATAATTTACTTTGTCTTTTTATATTTGTGTTTATGTCACAAGTATTTGTAGAAATTCAGCTGAATTTTTATCACAACTGTCGAGTACTAATATAATAGTTAATATTATTAATGTAGAACTTTACTCCAGGTATTTGTAATTTTTTACATGCATTACACCTAAGATATCTTATAGCGGAGCTCTCATGCTAGGCGGGGATACCAAAATTACACCATCACCGCGAACAAAGAGCATGGAAATATTTCTTTTTGTAGTACGATAAACTTCTTCGTACGTTTCCTCGTCGATTTCTACGGTAGTTACAGTTTCTTCTGCCTCCCCCAAAACCATATTTAAGTGCTGATCATAAGCCTATAATTAATATTTTTGTGCACTTGTAAGATTTGCGACTAATTAAAAAAATATATATATTTATATCGTATAAAACGATATTTACATGTAACCGTCCCCGTAGTTCTCTCTCGTTTCTCATTTTAACGTATATCCGTTCATCAAGACTCAATCTTATAAGATCCAATGGTTCTTTGACGTTTATTGCCGGTACCTAAAACGAAAGTATGTGTTAGGTTATGATAGGTTAGATTTAAGTCCAAAACCAAACCAAGTATTTTTACCTGCTCGGTCTCATCAGCCATGATATAATAATGTTCTTGTCGTTAACAGAATTATTTACAACTTACTAACAAATACGGATTAAGGAACTGTATATACATCAACAAAAACTACATTTGTTTGTCATGCAATTAAAACATTGCGCGGTACAATTCAGATAAACTGGCAGAAGACGCCATTTTATTACGTTACAGAATAGCTCAACAAGTGGCGCCATGCGTAAGTTTCGTAGAGAAATACTTTATTTATGCACAATGTGGCGGGAATCGTAGTATAATTTAGAAGAAAGTTCCATCGTATAAACATAAATCGCATATTTCAAATGAAATTTTCTCTTACGAAACTTCGATTTCGAGTGAATTAATTTCTTAAACCTTATAACCTTAAAGGACTTTATATTATGAATTTGGATTGATTTACTAACAGCAAAAATAATAGGACGGAAAAAATTATATGATTCATCCTCCTAGATAAGGAAAGAGTACAGTTTATACGATTTTTGTATTAATTTATTTGGGTGATATCGAAGGTTTTCAATTTTATATTCGTATAAACAAACGAGGGGTAAATTATGAAATTAGGTATAGCTAAATGTTTCATATTATTGAAAATTTCAATAATATGCTTTATTTGCGCAATAAGTTTCTTATTTCAATCAAAGGAAACTAAAATTTATCGGTACTCTCGAAAAAAACAGAAATGATAGAGCTTCGTCATAGATCCACTAGAGGACTCATGAGTAAGGCTTTTCTAACGGATTCTGCCTTACACTCTCCTTGTTTGAAACTCGAAACTACGTCTTACAAGAAAATTAATTGTTCAGAATATCCAAGGAATCTATTCAATATACGGTCTGCAGTGAACAGTTTCGCAATTGAATAGTGATAGCAAACGTGAACGCATACAGAATGTACTAGCATATAACAATGATGGCCAAGCTGTGGTGAAGCTCTTCTAGATTCAAAGAAGTTTTCATTTGCTACAAGTATGGTGACCACTGATACTAGAATAATGTTACTTAATCATTATTTCGTTAATATTATACATCAACCCTGTTAAGTGGAACGTAGCAATGCAAACACTCTGCTGCGTTTCTAAATATAACTGTACAGTCAAGTAAAATTAAATAGTATTTTTGAGTCTCATCGAATTACGTTTTGTTTCTACGTCAAGGGATTAGAATCGAACATGACGATCGAGGTAAACTTCGTCTTCGAAAACGATAGGAAAGACTTCGTTATTAGAAACTAAGAACAGCGTTTAAATTCTCCCGCGAGTTAACTCCATGCTCGACCGTGTCCGGGAGTCAGCGCTCGTGACCGGGCGATGGAAATCAGCGTAGCTTGAGGTATTGCTAGAGCGAGCGACCGCGAGGGAGTGAACAACGCCATTTTCTCGATCCGCGGGTGAAGTCGGTGCCCAGTGCGTGAATCATTCGACGACGTTTTCTTCCACGTTTGACCGTTACGACGACGAAATTAGGGGCTGTCCGTCGGCCCTGGTGCGTTAGGCAGTGTTATGCGTAGACACGCGGGCAGCTGTGCGGTGGATATGGTGAGTTCAGATAGATCGAAGCGCTCCCGGGAGACGTGACGTCTTGTCAGTCGGCCTTTTCCCATTCCCCCTTCTCGGTGGAGCTCCCGCAGGGATGGCTCGTGTAGAGTTGTCGTTCATGATAACGTAACAGAGACCGTACGACCGACCGACCGTTAGGTTCTAAATTCGCCTTTCTATCGTACGAGATTCACGTGGAATTAAAAGGCACCAGGAAAAACCGGGAGTCGTATAACGTTTCGTTCGGGCCAATGGGCGGAGGTTTAGGGCGGCACATGGCTGTTGGGGCGGCGGTTGTGCAGGGGGTGGTTTTCCCAACGGGTAGCTCGCGTTGACGAAAATTCACAGTTAACGTCGGTCACGGTATTCCGCGGATACGATAATCCGCCGATCGGAATCGCGCGTAATTGCGGACCGGTCACGGTTCGAATAACAAGTTCATAGTGACAGTGGAAAGAGAAGTACTCCGTTATATGTCTCGATTTCCTTGCCGCGGAGAGGAAGCTGCACTCGGCCTTTCGCCGATCACGCGTGTCTCTCGTGTGTTAGCGATTTGTATTTTGTGCACGTAAAAGATCGGACGAAGGGACAGCCGGTAATCACGGACAATCTCTGGAGAGATATTCTGCGATCTTTGCGCTACGAAGCAGGGCCAACGAGTAACGTAAGCCTCCACCTTTCACACATTGCTTTAGTAAATTTTTTAACGCTGCCCGTAAACCGCCTAATCTGACCTTCCGCGATGATTTATCAATGGACCGTTAGATCGCACGGAACGTGTATGCGTCAGCGTTATCGATCGACGGCTGTTGACACATTCGAGCCTTGCCTCTCGTTTCTTTTCTTCATTTTCTTGCTTCTCTTTTTTGCACAAGAAACACAGTGCGATCTGTTATGTTTCTTTTCTGCGTTCCAATCGTTCGTACGCCGCCTAACGTTTCAGCGATCTCGAATCGATCGCTTCGATAATTTTGTACGTTCGACTGTCTACCGGTTAGGCTGGTATTGCCACTGACATTACATACTCTATGTGTAATTGTACGAGCGCGAAGTGTGGTTTTCGTGGACAAGTATTGTCCGACCTTTAGTGCCGTTTCATTGATACGAACTTTACCTTGAATTTATTGTATCTATACGCGTATTCCGCGATCTCGTGTTATATGGGCGCTTGGTGATTAAAATCCGCCGTGACATTCATGCGCCAATTAACTCGCACGGCGTTTCGACCTTGATGACATTTTAAACGTTTTCTGCCCTCTTTAGAAATCCGATAGCCAAGTTCGTTCGCGCTTGCACCGGTTAGCTCCTAATCTCGGATCATCTTTTTCCCCGATAGGTCTTCCCGGTGCGTGTCACTCCTGTCATGCTACGAATTTATCTTGCACGGTGTACCCACTAGCATTTAGAATTCGTTCGATTCGCCGAAACTTACGGTATAAAATTGCTGACAGTGGATGACGTGAAAAATAAACTCATTATTTGTTAATTCTAGTCCGGGGGAAAAACCGTGCTCGATATGGTCGAGAGAAAGTTGAATTATAAAAAAAGGTATTAATAATAGACTGAAATTATAACGATTGAACTTGACCCCGCTGGTAAAAGGCGCGCCTCGCAAGGTGAACTTGACAAACGTATTCGTGCTGTTCTCCAGCGGTGCAATTTGTCGTTTACAATATATCTTTCTTTCCTATTAATTACCGCCGTGAAGGCAATTACGCAATCAGCGAACAAACGAACTATAATTTTCGAATTGTACGTGGTACTTATTTACAAGGAAAATCCTTGTTTACATAAATGTTGTCACCGTTTTATCTATCGATGATATCGACATTTTTTGCTAGAATGGCTTAACACTGAACATATGTACCTACGATTTTTTTACAGATAGATATTTAATTTTTTGATCGAATAATTGCTGTATGGTGGTCTTATTGGTTATTTGTTGTTCGAGTTTTGTCCGTCTTTTGTTACGATTGATTTTGTTCTCCTTTATTTGTATATACAGATTGCCATTTTATCTCCGCGTTGGAAACGCGAAAGAAAGGAATTGTGTAGTATCGAGCGAAGCCAGGCATGTACATGAACACGTGTTCGAGCACGCGACCTGTGCGGGAGAACGAATTTAAAATAACCGTGTGTGCTTTATGGGTGGAGTACCGTCGAGATGTTTCTTTATTCATGAATGCAAACGGCGAAGCACCGCGGGGAACATTAATCCTTTAACATTGTCGCTTCTTGAAAGTATACGAAATGAAGTGTGTTTTTTTATCAAACACCTATATTAAAACGTTTCGCGCGGACAATTTAATCGATCGATAAAAATTATACTCTCATGCTTTCTCGAACACGAACAATTTCTCTATATTCGTAAGGCAGTCGACACAAATACAATTTAATATCTTCGACCCTAAAAATAAAAATACATACGGTGTCATTTGATTATGTAAGCGTATGTGCAAAGTTTTATATATTTTTATTTTCGAAAATCTTTAACTATTTTTGTATCGAGCAAATTACGAACATACAAAAAATTAATATAGTTATGTTGCTCAGTTTATCAATAACGTTTGAGGAAATTAATATTAACACACTATCTGCGCTGGTTGTAGTTTTTACTACGCATGGAAACGATACGGATCGCGTTTCTGGCAATGCACGGAGAAATGAATCAAATTTCAACGGTAAAGACATACTAGGTATTTGATATAGTGTTATTTTTCACTGAATGATCAGTGTATGCAGTTTGCACGGTGAGAATGTGTTGACCGAATGATTTCTTAGGTTATTAAAGATAGGAAAAACATAGATATTAGTAAATAATTATTATTGTGAAACATGTATACAGGGTGTTGGGCCACCCCAGGGAAATATTTTAATGGGGGATTCTAGAGACCAAAATAAGACGAAAATCAATAATACTAATTTGTTGATGGAGGCTTCGTTAAAAAGTTATTAACGTTTAAAGTTCCGCTCGTACCGAATTTTTTTCTCGAAAATGTGCAGGATTTCGGGGGTATGTATATTCACCAAAAATGATTGTAATTGACCCCCACAACTGAAAATAATTTTTTTAGAACGATTACAAATTTTTTAATTTCGCCGAAAAATTTCACACCTTCCCGAATTTTTTTCTAGAAAGCGGGCAGGATTTCGGTGGTATGTCTATTCACGAAAAATGATTATAATTGACCCCCGCAACTGAAAATAATTTTCTTAGAACGATTCGAAATTTTTTAATTTTGCCAAAAAATTTCGCTCCTATTCGAATTTTTTACTCGAAAGTGCGTAGGATTTCGAGGGTATGTGTAATGACCAAAAATGATTGTAATTGACTCCCGCAACTGAAAATAATTTTTTTGTAACGAATTGAAATTTTTTTAATTTCGTGGATAATTTTCATACCTATACGAATTTTTTACTCGAAAGTGCGTAGGATTTCGAGTGTATGTGTAATGACCAAAAATGATTGTAATTGACCCCCGCAACCGAAAATAATTTTTCCAAAACGATTTGAAATTTTGGAATTTAATTGTTAATAACTTTTTAACGAAGCTTCCATCAACAAATTAGTATTCTTGATTTTCGTCTTATTTTGACCTCTAGAATCTCCCATTAAAATTTTTCCCACGGATGTCCGAACATCCCATATATTAACACTAGTGAAATAATTTCATGAATGAAATGATCCTAGATACTTAAAAAAAAAGCTTGATTAATTATTTGAAAGCATTATAAATGGACTGGATGACACGACAAAACTAATATTTGCGTTTAACCCCCTACGATGTTGAGATTATCGTGTGCGGAAATCTCATAGTCATATTTATTCGATACGTCCGCCGCACACAGTGCACTGATAAACTCAATCCTTATAGTCGCCCATATCACACGGAAGATTAGTAATTTCACGGAATTGTCAAACTCTTGACTCCAGCCGTTTCTTTTACCGACAGAGATTTTTTATTTTCGTCGGATCACGTTGTGCGTTGCAAAAGTTTCCATCGCGGTCGTACTTTTCTCCCGTAGACGTTGTCTTTCACTCGCGTTGCTTTTCGATTCGCTTTCACACACTCGAAAGTCTATTAGAGCGATCTATGCGCGGCGCATAAAGCCATGCACGTCAGAAGTTCGTATTAACTAGTGATTTACAGCATGTAACACGGTATACGAATAATAACGTCTATCCTGTCCCTTGGTGATTCACACGCGAAGGCGTGGATGGACGCGTTCGCTCGTGTTCATCAACGAACAAAAAATTGATCATGCTCTATATGCGGCGCAGAAACGAAGTCCGCAGTTTCGTTACGAGGCGTGCTTCAATAAGGTCGTTAGAATTTACTTTTCACTTCACGGGATCTTTTGTTTACCATAACTTATTACTATACTAAAAATATATCGTGCGAACAATGCAATAAAACGATAATATTAAAAACTATTAAATTCTTCTCTCGAGACAGATCGTCCGTGAGAAAATTATCTCGTAATTATCATGTTTGTTGAGATCAGTCGACGCCAGATGGCGACAGCGATGCGCCCACCGATTACGATATCGATTCGCCGATCTACGACCACGTTGGTTCTGCTTTCTTTCTGCCATTCTATTTTTATACCAACCACGTGCCAGACTCAGGCATAAGAAAATAACACCGTTCGAAACGAACCGAAAGTTTTCTTTTCGCCAGAAGTTTCTTCGACGTTTAAAGTCTCGAATAAAAATACACACGAAAATATGGGGGAAAATTCATCGTGTCGACCGGCATTCGCGCGATGATGTAACTCTTACTTTCTACCATTTACGAAGACGATACGACGCGATGCGATTTTGCACGCTCATGGTTTACAGCTAGGAAGCGATTAACCTTTCGCTTCGACACGCTCCGACGGCGTAAGGAGGGCAAAATCGATACGACGCTTATTGTATTATACCACTGTAATTTCATAAATTAATGGCGCTGAGGGTTTAAACAAGATTAAACGGCGAATCTCGACGCTTGTCGGTCGGAAATTCGTGCGAGACTAAACGAGAGTCGAACAGGTGCGCTGCACGATGCGAATGTTGACCCTCTGCTGGCCGTTTACGACATAACGGTGCGCGGGCAAATGGTACAAGAATAGTTGTTGAAGGTACGGTTGAGCGATTGCCTCTGGAATCCGTCGTATGCACCAGCCTATCTCTCGACTTTTTATTTTTCGAGAAAAAGTGCATCATTATATACAGTGTGCCCCGTAATACGCGAGCACCGTTTCAGAAATGAATTCAGTGCTCGAGACTTTCTACACCGCCGACACGAAAAAGATGCCCGTTTTCTACGACTGGTTTTTGGAATAAAATTAAAGTTTATCATTTATCTTGTCGATTGACAAGGAATTTCGACGTTCATTGACAATATCGAAATACTCCCCACCTCCAGAGAATTGGACAAGGTCTCCAAACGAATCCAGCTGTTATAACCTATAAATGCATCGAAAGGATAAGATCGATAATAAGACGTTCAGAGGCTTGCGTTGAGATGCACGGTGGCCATTTTGAATATCGAGAAAGTAAGAAGATACGAATTGGTTTGAACAACTAAACACGCTACACACGGAAATATGGTTGAATTTGTTTATATGAGTTTGTTTCGTTGCTTTTCAGATGTTAAATCCTTGAAGTTTGTCCCATGT